TTGATTTAAAATTCTTATTACACTTAGCACAAGTTAGCACCATATCTGGATTACTATGGGCATTAATTAAATGTTCTTTTAATGTATATTTCGCCATTTCCAACACACATATGGGACAAGTGACCATATCGTAAATGTTTGTATCAAGACTGCTTTCAACTTCTCGCATGATTTGCTGGAATGTTCGACGTTTCGCCTTTTTAACTGGCGGTTGACATTCCTGACGATGGATTATTAACACTTTCCTTTCCTATAATTAACAAAGATAATTAGAAAAAGTTCTATGAGTTCATGTTAGAATAATAGATGTTGTAAAGGGCATTTGTACCTGCGATTTTTAATAATAAAAGATGGCAAACAAGCAAGCGACCACCTGAATCTACCGAAATGGAAAGCGTCCGCTGCCTAACAAACATCCGCAATTGCAGCGTTGCCTACCGCTTTAATATCTTCGCACAAATGGGCCACGACCACACAGAAAACAGGCGTGAAGTGGAAGCAATTACGCGTTTCGTCTGATGAGTGTGGTGCCGGAGGCCTAATTTTAGTCCCTTTCCCTTTCCTCCCTTTTCTTAAGAGGAAAGGATGGGAAGGAAAAGTGGTTTTGAGGGTAGAGGAGACAAATAGGAAGGGGAAATATCCTCTTTATGTGTGTCTCCTCCGTCAATAAAGGGTAGGCAACGCTGCAATAGTGGATGTTTATGTGCAGCGGCCGCTTTCCATTTCAGTGGATTCAGGCCGCTTGCTCGTTTGCCATCTTATATTATTAAAAAAAAAACAAACAAAAATACAAATCTTTATAATATCAGTATCAATATAGAAACATAGTAATTCCTTGAAACTAAGAGAAATGCCCTCTTTTTGTATTTCCTCTTCTCCTTCTCCCTTTATAAAAAGTAAGCAACACAAATGCAAACATAAATTCACTATTTTAAAAAATTACAGCCACTTGATTGTTTGCCATTTTACATCAAATAAATCTACTAATTTTTAATAACAAATCTAACTAAAAAATATTATAAATATGCAAAATTTAGATGGATGTTTGTTAGAGTTTATAGACTAAACGAGCTGTTGCCCGCGACTTCGTCTGTGTGGTATTAGAAAACATACGAACTATATAAATAACAAAAAGCTACGTATCCCGGGAACCGAACACCTCGGGGATGAAGCTTATCCATGTGTACTCCACACTTTGTTTTACATCTGTGCCAAATCTCAATAAGATATATTGAACCGTTGCAGAATGATCGAGTGAACATTAAAAGACTAAATTAATGAATCCCACGGGAACCGTAACTATTCACGGGATAAAAACTAGCCTATGTTTTCTTCCAGACTATGCTCTAAACCTGTGCCAAATTTCATGGAGCTCCGTTCAGCCGTTTAGGCTACAAACGCTAACAAACATCCATCCATCCATCTAAACTTTCGCATTTATAATATTGTAAGAAGTAAGATATGCAAAATTTAGATGTATGTTTGTTAAAGTTTGTAGCCTAAACGGCTGAATGGATGTCAATGAAATTTGGCATAGTTTTAGAGGATAGTCTGGAGGAACACATAGGCTACATTCCTTTCAACTTTTTAATTCCATGTGAATGGAGTCGAGAGCGAAAGCTAGTAATCAATATGATTATACATTAAACAAATAAAAAACTTGAGATTAACCAAGAGAGATTTACCTGGAAGGTAGTATCACAAATTCTGCATTTAAGTTGCAATCTCCGATAACTGTGAGCATTAACCATGTGGTCCGCTAACAGATTGCTGTCCACATCCTCGAAGCAAAGCAAACACATCATCAGACCCGTCTTCGGGTTGACCGCAGCTTCCGTTGAGTCAAACTCTATTGGGTCATGGTTTGTTTGTACACATTGGGCTAGTTCTAATAGAGCCCTAGAATTAGAAATAAAGTATTATAAGGTTAGCGTGGTAAGGACATGTTATGCGACGAGACAATGGGGACATAAACCAGAAAGTGTTAAGATTGAATGTGGAAGTCTACAAATGAAGAGGAAGACTGAAGAAAGTATGGATTGTGTGAAAGAGGATATGCTTAAGAAAGGAGTGGATTCGGATTTGACGGCTGAAAGAGATGTATGGAGCAGCACTTACTGGGCCAACCCTCCATAAGGGATAAGGGCAAGTTGATTGTTGTGGATTGATAAGAAGGTTGAATCTCCAATTAAGATATACTGGCTGTAATATGTAAGTGTGATAGATAAGTATGTCAAAAATGTAAATTTAGAAAAATGTGCGTGTCTAACAAGAACCGAAAGAATATAAAATAAAGTCTTTTAATGTTTATAACATTGATGATAATAAATGAAGTATTATTAATTTAAAGATACCTCTGTATCAATAAAAGCAAATCTTACTTATATTATGAATGTGAATGTGAGTATATTATAGGAAGTTTAAGAGTAGCCCCAGTAGTAGAAAAGGTAAGGAGTAAAAGGTTAGCATGGGAGCATGTTGTGCGGAGGGATGAATTGCATGTTACAAGGAGAATGTTAGTTATGAGTTTGGAAGGTTACATCAGTAGAGGTAGACCAAGAAAGAGATGGATGGATTGCGTAAAAGGTGACATGACCAAAAAGGGAGTGATGACTGAGATGACGTATGATAGAGTTATGTGGAGGACAAAAACCTGTTGCGTCGACCCTACGGGAGTAGGATAAGGAGAAAGATTATGATTATGTATGTGAAAGTTAAGATAGATGAATAAATCTTGATTTTATTTGGCATAGATGTGGAGGATAGTCTGGAACAGCAATTAGTTTACTTGCTTTTGATTTTTGGGCGGACGGAGCCATGGGTGAAAGTTAGTTAATATATAGTGATAATAAGCTTTCTAATAGCAAAGAAAATTAACTAATAGTTTTTGAGTTTATTATTTATGTAGAAAATACGAATCTTTAAAAAGAAGCATATTCTCAACAAACTCGAAACCAATTATTTGTTAAATGTGTAGGAATGTCTAATATTTTTTTTTAAGTTAACATTATTTAAGTTTTAGACGCGATTTTAAATAATACATACATAGTGTTATATTCTTCATCATCGTCTTCTTCGTTCGTCTCCACCTTCAAAGAAACTTCTAAATTACAACTACTTCCTTCCAATGGATCTTCTGGTTCACTTTTGATACTTTCCATAGTACGAACCGATTGATCGTTTTCTACAGTTCTCTCCAATGAATCTGTATCAGAATCCATTATTAATTATTTTTTATACTAAATAGCATACGAATAGCACTTTACCTTTTAAATTAATTTCGTATATTCAAGAGCTTTTAATTTATAATCGCAAAATTGAGAAAAATAAACAAATTCTGACAGTCCTTATTAGGCAATAGACAATAGAACGACACAGACGTAAAATAATGTCCATAGACAATTCATGTAACAGTTACCAGTAAAATGCTATTACCCACGAAACTTAGGAGAATGACAAAAACTAACAGAACGACATTTTTATAGGTCTGAAATTATTACAAATGTAAATCACAGAATGTTTTAAAAGGGCAACATGCTAAATAATAATACAAACTCTTAACCAAACACTTTACATTCGTTTATTTCACAAGTTTTATCTATAACATCGCATACTTTAATAAAGTCTTGTTTTTCACAATAGTTGTACTTTTTAGAGAGTGGTGTCCATTTCGAAGTGAATTGATTATCAGAAAAAAATGGTTCTATCGTTTGAATATCTAATAGTTCGTTTGGTAGAGGTAGAACTAACCTGGAAATAGAAATACAATTACGTTAAAATGTGCCGATAGTAAATAGTAGAAATGTTACTGTTGTCTCCAATACCTAGTAGCGTGTAAGAACATCCTATGCGGGGATGTATCTTGTCGGTTACTGTATGTATAGTCACCTAAGATTGTATGACCTATCACAGAACAGTGCACCCTTAACTGGTGACGACGACCTGCAAAAGTGAATTAAAGTACGTGAATGAATACAATAAATACATCTTACTAATATTATAAATGCGAAAGTTTAGATGGATGGATGGTAATAAGGATGGATGGATGGATGGATGTTTATTAGCGTTTGTAGCCTAAACGGCTGAACGGATCTCCATGAAATTTGGCACAGGTTTAGAGCATAGTCTGGAAGAAGACATAGGCTACTTTTTATCAATGGAATAGTTACGGTTCCCGTGGGATTCATTAATTTAGTTTTTTAATGTTTATTCAATCATTCTGCAACGATTCAACATATCTTATTGAAATTTTGCACAGATATAAAACAAAGTCTGGAGTACACATGGTAAAAGCTTCATCCCCGAGAAATGCCCGGTTCCCAAGGGACACGTAGTTTTTTGTAATTTTTATAGTTTGTATGTTTTCTAATATTTGTATGTCTTACACAAATTAAAAGCTTGATTACAAATATTAAACTCACCAGTTAAAGGTTTCAAGACTACCACAGTAACCGGATTGTCTTCGTAATATCCTGACTCAAGTACAAGTAATCGTGTCTCAGCCGATCTCGGAGAACCACACGAAGTTCTTGTTGCTTCAGTCAATGCGAGCATCTTATGACTGGTGTCTGGAGATGTCCGATCAGAACCTGAATTACATTAAAAGGGAACTTCATGATCATTATTTTAATAAAAAATCTTATGATAAAGTTCAAATATAATAATACGTAATAGTACATTTATATAATTACCTAATGGATATTTTATATCACACATTTTGAAACTTAAATGTCCTCTAACGATCGCCAAGTAGTATTTATTTGTTAGTCTCTTCTCGAAAAGTCTACCGGCAGCGGCAGCTGCACTTTTGTTTAATGCCATGCAGAGAACGCCGCTAGTGGAGTAGTCCAGTCGGTGAACGAAATGCAGTGGTTGTGCAGAATTCGAACGATGAGAGTCTTGTTCCGCTATGTGACAAACGACTGTATTCTAAAAGAAATTGTTATCAAACCGGAGAAGTCTATATTTAATTATATTAGTAACATAGGACTTCGATTTTTAAATCGACTGCTTTAAATAATATGGGTAAATATGATCGATTTGTGGTGGCAACACCGTAATTCAAACGTCTTTTGATAGTAAACATAACCTAACATTTTATAAAAATAATTGTTACTAAATGTGCAAATAAATAATGTAACAATAATTGATAATTAACACAAAACCTTTTCATTTTCATCATCAGAGTTTATGTACATATCATACGGCTTGTTTACAATTAGGAAATTTACACTTTGATACAGTTTTTCTATTGCCATATTCCTGGGTTTCATAAAACGAGTAAACACTTAACATCACACTTTTGATTCTTCTATTTTAGCTTACTTTGTAATGATAAAGAGCGTTCAGCAAATAGTCCAATAAAGGTTCTGATTCTATAATTTTTATTTTTGATTGTGTGTTCACAAACCAAAAACTGTATATATATACAACTCAAACTACCTACTAAAACAATGATTTTGAAGTCATTGGACCTTTAGAATAAATCTAATTGAATCAAATACATTTTATTTGTAATTTCGATTTATTCATAAAAAACAATATCAACGAAATTGCTTAATTTTATAGAAAGGGAAATTAAAATGTTGCAGTTTCAGAACACACTCTTTAATCAAAACAAAACTAGAATTTGACAGATGACAAAAATGAAATGAATAAAGTATAATCCTACCAAATAAAATCGGTTTATGGGCAAATGACATTGTATAAAAAGATATAAATTTTTAAATTATTGACTTAATAGTCGTATGAAAAGTTGCAATAAGAATATTGGGGTACAAAATTAAAATAAACCCAACAGAATGAGGCGTTCAGGTAAACATAGAATAAAAGAGGAGCGTCCTGAGACTTCTGCATCTATTTCCAATGTACAAGATCGTGATTTGACGTATTTCATTCACGACAGAGTGGAGTTAATGCATCAAGTGTTTTCCGTGCTTAAACCTAAGGAAATAAAAGCTATGGTGCCGCATTGTGTTCAGCACATATCTTTAAACGATTTACAAGAGCTTTGCACGGAGGAGGTAAGGTTATGTTTAACAGTAAAGTCCGTAACAGAATCGAATGCTTCACAAATTATCAAGACTAATTGTCTAATTTTTGTTACTGTTTAAGGTTCTAGGCATCAGTTCGAAGCGTCTTTGTTCTATATTAGACGGGGCAGAGCCTCCGAGCGATACAGAAACGTCCAGCGACTCATCTTCAGGTAGAGTTGAGACAATATCGCTTGACAGCATATCCTCTGATGAAGAAATATTGAGTCAAAGTAGCGGGAAAAAGAAAAAGGTAATTTATCTTTAGATAATGACTTGTTCATTAAAATTCCCGACTACTTGTAGCTTCTCTCTGTAACTTCCCTGCGTTATAAATGCATAAGTTTGGATGGATAGATGTTGGTTACTCTGTATCTCCAAAACGTAAATCAATGTATGTCACCAATGTTGAACATAGTCTGTGCAGAAGTGCTGAAGTTAACATATGCGATCATATTCTTGTCTCTTTATAGCATAAACATTGTCGCCACAAATCCAAGTCGAGAGATAAACGTAAATCATCATCAGAGGAATCTGATAATGCAGAGAAGAGCACGGCATCACGCGCAGGGCTGACAGTACTGGAGTTGTTGGAATTGCAAGCACGAGCCAGAGCGATACGAGCACAACTACAGCAAGAGCAAATAAGAGGTTTGTAGCTTCAAACTGATGGATGGAGTTGCCGTAACTACTTACAATAATTACATGATTTTTTCTAACAACTTTTCCACACTAACATCCTTTACAACTGATATTGTGTTTTGTATGATTCATAATTTAATTTATATGTATACTATCTTACCAATATTATAAATGCGAAAGTTTAGATGGATGGATGGATGGATGTTTGTTAGCATTTGTAGCCTAAACGACTGAACGGATCTCCATTAAATTTGGCACAGGTTAAGAGCATAGTCTGGAAGAACACATAGGCTATTTATCCCGGGAAAAGTTACGGTTCCCGTGGGATTAATTATTTTAGTTTTTTTACGTTTACTCAATCATTATGCAACGGTTCAACATATCTTATTGAAATTTGGCACAGATATAAAACAAAGTCTGGAGTACACATGGGATAAGCTTCATCCCCGAGAAATGTCCGGTTCCCGAGCGATACGTAGCTTTTTGTAATTTTTATAGTTTGTATGTTTTCTAATACCACGCGTACGAAGTCGCGGGCAACAGCTCGTTATTATATAGAGGAAAGATTTGTATTTTTGTATATATTGTAAGTACTCAAAAACTATTGGGCCGATTTTAAAAATCCACAATTGGAATGGAAATTTATCTGTGAGTAACATAGGCTATATTTAATTATTATGTTGAGGAACTATTAAACAATATATTTCTGGACTGTGATGTTAGAAATCACAATGTTTTAACTTTTCTCTGCTTACACTGCCTAAACCGTTAGAGATATATAAAATAATGTATGAAAGAATTGTAGATCTCAACAAGTTCTACAGAAAAGTCCATGATGGCATACATCTATCTTTAACGGTTTTCTTCCAATAACCATTTTTTTCTAAATAAAAACCGCAGGCTATTTGCAGCTTTTTTTTGTGTTTCAATATTAATCATTATACAAATAAACACGTTTGTTATCAGGAGAATTTAAAGTATAATAAAGTTGTCCTTTGTAGTATTTAAATTTGACAAATAGTTTAGGAGATATTGTAAACACAAACAATAAGGGTAAACGAAAAATCAGCTCACAAGCTACCGGGCTTAGAAATTTGCAATTTGGTATTAGCAGATTTCTGTTATTACGTAGATTACTACTAAATTAATACTTTAGGTTGAAAAAAAGGGGGGAAGTTAAGTATTAAACTTTAAAACTCCACAAGGACGAAGTTGTGGGCTACAGCTAGTCTAATAGTATGAAGCGGAAAATTTGTGTTTTTGAATGTATTGAAGCAACTCAAAAACTAATTAATTAAGCCATTTTAACCATTAAAATTAACATTCTAGCCGAGTAACTAGGCTATTTTATTTTTTAATATCATAAACAATTATCAGTTCCTCTCATCAACAGATGTGATAGAGAACAAAGCACCGGAGACGCAGCATGTGTCTGATGATGATGTGGAAATCAAGGAGGAGCCCACCGAGATTGTGGAAATCAGCAGCGATGAGGAGAAGCCCAAGATCGAAGAGTTACAAAAAGGTAAACATACTGTCCCCATGCGGCTTCATCTGCATTAAATAATACAAACATTATTTTATTGCTTACATTTGTCGAATGCAAATGTCAAAATAACAATTACCTTACTATGGCAATCTTGCTTCCTTGATGTTGGCAGCAACTTATGGTCTCTTTCCCACATGAAGGGTACACTTTTTAATTTATTTTTCCCCCAAGTTTAATAACGTGAAAATATATAGCCTAAAGCATGTCGTAAGTGTAGGGATTTTTTAAAGAGATGTTGTTATTATTTTTTTTATATTATAAAGGGCAATAAAGCGGCCACCTGAATCCGCCAAAATGGCGAAGCGACCGCTGCCCGTAGACATCCGCAATTGCAGATAAGTTGCCTACCCTTTTCCGACGGAGGAGGAGACGCACATAAAGAGGATATTTCCCCTTCCTATGCATCTCCTCCACCATCAAATCCACTTCCTCTTCCCATCCTCTTCTTATAAGAAAAGGGTGGTAAAGATAAAGGGACTTAAATTAGGCCTCCGGCACCACACTTATCAGACTGTACACGGAATTGCTTCCATTTGACGGCTGTCTTGTGTGTGGTCGTGGTATTACTGGGGGCGTGCCGGCCCTGCACTGCTAACATGTTAATGCGGGCACTACCACTGTTATCCACACTGTTACCATATTATTATAGATAGTTAGATTACTCAACTTTAGGTTAGTCTATATTAAATTATTAAGAGGTAAGATTTGTATTTTTGTATGTATTGAAATAACTCAAAATCTTCTGGACCGATTTTCACTATTGTAAAGCTACTTTAACACTGAGTAACATAGGCTACATATTTTAATTCCACGTGAACGAAGTCCCGAGCAACAGCTAGTTAGCAATATACATAATAATGTAACTATCAATAAATTTCTATATCATTCCAGAAATAACAAAGCCAACTATAACCGCGCCAATAATCAACGAACCAATCAAAGAATCGCACAAAATTACAAAAAAGATAAACGATCTAATAATAACAGTACCACAAACGAAACATACGAGAAAAATAAAACTCAACCGTACACCGGCTGCTAGTACAACAAATCCAATACAAATAAATAATACAACTAAAGAAAAACCACAAGAATCGATCAGAATAGATAGGACTATAGAAAACACTCAAAAGGTAACCAAAGAGAAACAAAAGAGAAAGATAAAAAAGAAAGGAAAGGATAAAAAGAAAGAAGGCAGCGATCACGACGAAATAACCTTACAACTATCAGATTCAGAGAAAATGGATTTATTAGAGAATTTGGATAGAAAGAACTACGATAGCGTTTCAAGTTCTAGCACAGAAGATTCTGAAAGCAGTTCCGATAGCGAAGAAGAAAAGGAACATTCCCTAACTGGAAAAACACAAATCACAGAAGGTGACGACAAAACCTCTGAATCGGTAATCATTGAAGAAACTGATGTATGTGAAGTGAAAGATGCTAACAATGAAATTATTGAACCAATTACTGAAGTAATTGATATAAATGAAGGAAATAATTCGGAGGGTACATCACAAAATCAGATTGACAAAAAACATACCAATACTAAAAGTACAGAAATTACAAAGGATACGCAAAACGAAGTCATATCTTTAGACGAGGGTAAAAACAATGAAGTTAACAAACTTGAAATACTTGATAATACTATAAAAGAAATTGAGGATAATATTATAAAATCTACGAAAGAAACGGAAAAATCTGACGGTGAATTATCAGATCGTGAAAGTTCGGAAATTGAAACGTCTGAAGTTAGACCTGAAGTAGTTTGCATTTCCGACGACGATTTAAATAAGAAAAACCACAAAAAGAAAAAGAACAAAAAGAAAGATAAGAAATCCAAGAAAGAAAAGAAAACTAAAAATCAGGATTTTCGTAATGGCGCCGATCAAAATTTCTATACAGAAGTCGAATCAATTAAAACAGATGATTTGATTGGTGTTCCAGATATTCCAGAAACCAGCGTACAAGAAAATTGTATAGACGTAAATGAAATTCTAGAACTTTCCGATGAATCTTCTTGTAACGGTGAAGATGGTACTACAGTATTATCTAAAGAGCCAACGGCTGAAGAAATTGAAGCACTTTCAGCTAAAATAGACGAAATAGATAGAGAAAATATCATCACTGATGAGGAAATAATAGAACACGAACGAATACAAGCTTCTAAAGAAGTCGCAGAAGCAGAAGAAATATCTTGGAAAGATCGATATTTGGATAGCAAGAAAGTAAAAGATGTTTTAACTACAGCAAATATTCTAAACGCTATAAGAAAGAAGAATAAGGACTTAAAAAGACAGTTAGAAGAATCTAAAATGGAGAATAAGAAGGAAGTCGAAGTTCCAGAAAAGATAGAAACGGAGAATCTAGAAGAAGGTTCAATAGAACAATACAATACACTAGAAGGTTCCACAAAATACGTAGATCCGGTTAAGGAAAATGAAGATCTGACGAATGATAGCAAAGTGACAAAGGAAATGAAGAAAGATGCAAAACAGTTACTTAAAATGTATAAAAAACTGTTCAAATACAACGACATGACGCGAGAGAAAGATCCTAATAAAAAGAAAAAGAAAAAAAAGAAGACCAAAGCGGAGAAAGACAAAACGGAAGCTAATACTGAAGCGAAAATTAGTTCTTAAGGTTTATTAAATAGTTGAAATATTATGACCATTACTTTATTTTCCTATTTCGTAGTAGAAGAAAACTATAGATGCCATATTTAAATGAGACAAAAATTATTTTCCAAATCAGGATTCTTTTGTTTTCGATATTTTAACTGGCAACAATGTTCTGCTATAATTTTTTCAACTAACAACATGACGTATTGTCAGACAATAATGTCAAGGAATTGAGAGAGGCAATAATGTACAGCCACGATAATGCACGACCCAATAATGCAC